CAGCACCTAGGCATTTATAGATTATGCTAGCATAATTTTTGGCATAATTCGAGCAAACTGGCATAATTTCTGCCAAGTAGCAATGCTAGCATAATTTGCGCATTTTGATAATTATCAGATCATTTTTGATGCCGTTATTTGATAATTTTTTTTCTCTAGTCCCAAGCACTTGGTGACCTTAATCGATATTTAAAGTTTTAGTTAAACTAGTAGCATTTGTAGTTCACTGTGAAGCACTGAGCCCGGGTCTGAGGTGTACCGAAACCGGAAGTCACATTTTAGCCATGTAGATCCCAGTACCTCTCATTAGGCAAGGCTACAATATGGCGTCGGCCATGCCTGATCCACATGTTTATTTGAAATTCATTGTGGATTTGTTGCGTTTCTTTCCAGTAGACGAACGGCTTCTAGTAAAAAATATATATTTTGGACTTATTTGCATTTTTTCAAAGAGCATAATTTAAAAAAACGGCATAATTTGGAAAAAAGAGCATAATGTTAGCATAATTTGGCCAAAAAAAAAGCAAAGCCACTAGCATAATATGCCACTTTTACTAGCATGATCTTTAAATGCCTAGGAGCAAGGGAAGGCTATACAGACTTTCTCCTTTTCCAATTTTTACGCCGGTCATACAAGCTGCCCCGCCTGTGATGCGCCATTTGTACCGTCCGTGGTGAAAGGCAAAAAAGCCAATCTATGAATCTTGTTATGGAGTACTCTGAGAAGCGTGATATGGGAGCACAATGTAAAAGGATCGACGCTTAAATCTCTTTAAATTGTGATAGAAGTAAACTCTATGAAAAAAAATTACTGAGATCTTTGATTCTGAATCGAGAAGAAACTGACATTAAAGTAAATGATTGTAATTTTTCTGTAAATTATGTTACTTGCTACAGTTTTCTTTCAGTCTTTATAGCGAATTTCTCTTTTTTCGATTTATAGTGCGAGAAAAAGAGAATAGTTATTATACCTTTATTACCAAAAACAAACAGGAAAGGTATTTGCAAACAAAACAAACTCTTAATCAAAGTACAAGTCAGGAAATTTTCTTTTAATGGTGTTGTAAACTATGTTGTAGTGCAAAAAAAAAGTTCAAAATGGACATAAGGTTAATGAATAAAGAAATAAATAAATGAAAAATAAATGGATTAATAAATGATAACTAACTGAGGAGAATTTCAAAAGTTCAAGTTAGTATGCTGACTACCCTCTGATGATTGGTTTAGCCAATTCAGCTAATCTGTCTGAACACGTTGCTTTTCGAGCAGCTTTAGAGACTTCAAAAGCGTCAGGATTTGGCAAATTTGTTGCTATTTCTCTTTTAATCGGTAAAGCCAGGTCATCAATTCTCTTGGAGGGTTTGGCTTTCAGCGCAGCCTTCGACACTTGCCAAACTTCAATCTTGTCCGGCATGAAACCGAAGGGAACACCCTTAGCTTGGGACAGTTCGTGCACTCTTGCTGAAGCCCGTGACTGGAGCGCACTTTGCTTTATGGTCCACTCACGTACTTCGATAGAGGGCCTCTTTTTCGGTTGACTTAGGTCCTCTGTTCGCGGTGATGCAGCAGCCTTTTGTGCAGCAGGAGACACTGTAGTTTGAACTGATCTGCAAGGCTCGTAGTCCGAGTGAAACCTTTTAGGTTGTGATAGTTGTTCAAGACGGTCATTCGCAGCGGCCCTCCGTGCAGCAGGGCTGACTTTCCAAACTGGTGAAGAGCGCCCGATTGTATAGTCGCGGAAAATGTTACGTTGCTTCCTTTAAACACAAAAAAGATGAAATGAAAGTCAGTTGGTTGAGTAGTCTTCCCCTATTTAATCAGGACTTTAAGCAGCCATGACGGCAACGCCACGGAAGACGTCGATTAAAAAATGAGTTTCTACTTTTAGTTAGAATTTCGAAAATGGCTGCATGTGTTTACTGTCTCATTGGGCGCCAGACCTCAAACTCAACATAACGAATAAAAGTAGCGTTGAGTTCCAAATGTAAATTAAAGTAATTTGCCGCCGCGATTTCGCTTCGCAGACGACGCAAAATTTGGTGATTTCACGTTGTTGTTTTGCAAAGGACGGCTAAGGAAAGTACAACGTTTTAAAACGCATGCGCTGAGCTATTGTTCTGCCAATTAGATCTATTGTTTTTCCCCATTCTCGTTACCGTAGCCGTCGTGGTTTGCTTAAAGTCCCCAATGCGAAATATACTGAAACATCGTGTGCCGGTGACATAATATTTTGGGGGTTTCAAAACTTGGAATGTTTTTTCTCCGCATTAAAATTATCCTAGCAGAGAAAAGTTCCCGAAAAAGAGTACGCCGCTTAATTAAAGTTTTCCACCCTCGATCAAAGAGCACACTCTGCTTGTGAATCAAGTCTCAACTAGTATACATAAACTCTCCCGATATCTATGAATCAAGCGCCGTGTTGTCACCATCTTTATAACTTGACAAGTAAGAAAGTTTGAAAATAATAGGCTCGGTTTGGATACCAAACTTTACATGAGCCGGACTTATTCGAGTTTGGACTGACCCAGATTCAGAAAGGCACGCTTGTTTAGTCAGATTCCGAACTCATTGTACCCGTTCTCCATGCAATCCCAAGAAACTTCTTAAGATAAAACCATGTTGCAGTAATTATGCGTTTTGTTCGGCACATGTTCAGGTAAGGTCGTTGCCTGACTGAATCAAGGGTGTCACAAAGCTGTTCTGGAGTCGAAATTCTTGGCCGAGCCACACGAGAAGAAAGGCAAAGCCTTTACAAAGCAAGGGTGTGCAATTTATTCATGCAGTCGCTGTACATTTCATGTATTAGACTCACGGTATTTGGTTCGCTTCACAAAAATTACGGTTTCTAAACTGGGTCGATCTAATATTTCTTTCCTTGTCAATGTCGTGTTGCTTGAAAAAAAAATTAATTTAGTTCTCAGTTGTTATTTCAATCTTTCGATTAGCAAAATTTTGCTCTAACAAACCACAAAAAAAAAAAAAAAATCACCGATTCACCAAAATATAATTTCCGCATTAGTTTATGCCACATCGTTGGCAGCTATTCAAAGTTTCTGCAAGTTTTGCAATTATTGGGACCGCGGGTACGATATCAGGGAGTGCACAGTTATTTCCAGGCCCCAGTTGTTCAACAAGTGGATAAATTAAAGCTATCCGACGGATAAATTGCTATCCAGCAGGCAAGTGTGAACAAAACGTACTGTGCTATTCACTGGATAGCGTTCTTCACCCTTCAAACTGACCGAGGCCTGGAGCGGAGGGAGCAAGGAACATGAGGGGGCGCCCTGTAAAGTGAGACTCCAAGGATGGGACAATAACATTACATTTCTGTACGAAAAGCAGACAGGGCCGGCAGGTATTTACTTTTTTTGTGGGCAAGCTGACTCAAAACTTCAAATACCTGTCATCTCTCACTACCATCAGTCCGTAATCATTACTTTCTGGGACTGATTAAACAAACCAACCATTTTTTAAGAAACAGTTACTTGTTCAAACCAAAGAGTCGTTAGAGATTCTCATAATTAAAGACGCCAGAAAAGTTTTTGCTGCCAACAAAAGCAAACAAAATTAGAATGACAAAAGACGACAACAACTCCAATAAAATTGCTGGAAGACTTATGCAAATAAAAAACCAACCGGGTCACGCTTCGAAACGCACACATGTATTTTCGTCTTTGATGAAGCGTAAACAAAGCGACTCTTATTATTTTTTTTGGAAGAGAACTGTGGGGAAACTGATACCGATTTGTACTTGTGGTCAAATGATCCCAAACAACAGCACTGATAAAAGGCTGACGGCAAGATGATTTAGGACTGCGCGAGAAGCTTAAGAAGATTTTTGATAAATTCAGTCAATCTAAGTCTGTAGGTCAACAATTCCAGGCCAGGACTCTTAGAAGTAAGATTTCATGACTTTGTTTTCAGAAAGAACACATACTGAAACTTGTTCCGGAAACTTAGGAAAGTTGCATCCTTTTCTTGATAAAGCAGTTAGTTATAGTTAAAGTGCTTGCGGCATACGTCCTAACGAGGGCGGAAAGTTTGATTTTTGTCACAGGTCAAAGGAGACTGGACACCCTTTCCATAAAGTGATTGAATGATGTGACATCAGCGAAGTTGTTCTTTTTTTTTTTTTTTTGAAGGGGGCGGATTTTAAATCTAAAAACATGAAAATTCTCTATCTTTTAAGCAAAAAATTATCTGCTGCTGTTGTCAAGGCATCCTAAATTTGTTTTCTAAGTACTTCCTTGATGACATTTCTTTGTTTATCTTAAAGTGGACCTTTGCTTTTGACATGTTTTCTGAATATACAGACAGTTAATTGAATTGATCTTTATGAACTTTTAGGAATGTAAAAACAAACCACAGCAAGAAAGTTGATCACTCATAAACATTTAGAATATTTTGCTAATAAAACTCAAAAGCTGAAGGGCTTGCAAAAAATCGAACTCGCCAATGTGTTAGAAAGCTTCTGCGATCTGGTCGCCCGCAAGGACTATGGATTCGAGATAGCAGAACATCTTAAGATATCCAATTTTATACCATTACTGAGAAGTAAATATTTCGTGCAATCATTCGGAGCAAGGCTTCTCTGATAAGACTGACGCAGATCAAATCCGTCTTAACATCACATCGTTCTTTTACGAATGTTTTATCAACTTACTTGTACGCCGGTGTCTGAACTTCATCAAAAACACTTCTGCGCGATACCCCAAGATCCGGTATAATTGGAACAATTTGATCACTTGTCTTGATATTGTAATAGTACCCACAGCGTGGGTGATAGGTTACAATAATTTTACTGTCCATTTTTCTCAATCGCGCCTGGCGCTGTTGATCGCGCGTGAAAAATAAATTTGACACTGAAAAGTCATAGATGTTACCATGGAGACGTGGTTTTGAAAGACTGCTACAGCGAAATGGTTGTTGGGAAGCCACAAGAAATTACTAGAGTGTTTTAAAAGTCCTAGATATATTTATATTCATATCTTAGCAAACTTAGATTTGTTCACATATTTAATGCACTGTTCGGAAGAGAGAGAAATAGCACATTACAGGAAGACTGAGCCCACAAAAGCGAGTAAACAGTGATGAGGGAAAAAAGAGGGACAAAATGTATGGACGGGAAAGCATGAAAGTTCTAGTTGTACGAAAGTGGTGTATCTTAGTGTTTAAAGAAAAATCGACCAATGCCCAGATTTATCTCTTATAGGAATAAAAGTGGAAGGAGCAAAAAATCACTTGGTTACTGTATAGAATGAAAAAAGCTCTAATTTTTTAAATCAAACGTCCTCGCCGTAAGAGCAAAATCAGGATTATACGATATTAAAAAAGAAAACTAAGGAAAAGGAAAGCGTAGAGTTTTTTCCTTTCATGCTTGAATTAAAGAAAAAATCTTGAATTTAAAGGCTATTTAAAAGACTGAAAAGGAAATGGGAACGATAATAGAAAGGACGCCAAACGTAAATGTATTCCTCAATGGATGTGTATCTGACATATCTCTATGCAGCGCAGTTTAGGGGTTTAACAAACCAAAATGAATAAAAGTCAAGCTAGAGAGAAAGAACAAAAGAGTGAAATACTTCAGGGCTCAGAGCTCCATAACACCTTGCTCTCAGAGTTCAAATTCGAATTTGATTAGACGAAGCAGTGAATTTGAAAAGAGAAAGAACAGGTCGAGTCCTTCGGTTGGGAGCATGGGACGAGAACGATTACTCAGCGAAACAACATGGCGGCCCTCGAGGACAAAGCGATATGGGAAGATAGCGAGGTATTTTTCACGTCCATGGCTTTTGTGGAGAGTTTTTATCTTCTATGATCGTTTTTAAAACGTTTAAAGATCTTTTGGAAATGTTTTTTTTTATTTTTAATAGGAAATCGACGAGGAAGTTCTTCGAATGCAGACAGACGAAATTGTCGGACGAGCTCGACTTTTAGACAATGAAATTAAGGTAAGGTGTCTTTTCTTAAGGCACACTCAGTCTCAGAAACTATGGTGAAATTGGCTCGATATCATGGCACCATAAAAAAACAACAACAGACGCATGTCTTTGTGCCACAAAATTTTAGTTTCGAGGCTAAGTCGAATTTTGTGCTTTCTCAGTCAGAAAAATTATTATGAAATTATTTAGTCAGTCGTGTGCCTCACTTTAATTCATTATTTTTCTTTTACAGATTATGAAAAGTGAAATCATGAGAATTAACCATGAACAGCAGGCAATGAAAGAGAAGATAAAGGTAAAGTGTATCTGTTTACCAGTTCGATTAATTATATATTAATTGTGAAAATTACTTTGCCGTTTTATGTATATTAATAAAATACATGCAGACGAAAGTAACAATCATGGTATTTTGTTCACTCAGGAAAATTCAGAGAAAATAAAAGTTAACAAAACACTTCCATACCTTGTGTCTAATGTAATTGAGGTAAGAATTTTTCTCTTTCAGTTGTTTCAGTTGTTTTAGGCTCAGTGTCTATTTTTTCAAATTTGAATGACATTTTTTTTTTGGTTTATGCCACTGGAGGGGCACTGAGTTTGTTAAACTTACCTCTCCGCCCAAGAACCCAAGATACCGATTTCCACACTCAAAGTAAAAATTTTTTTCTCCATAATTTGGTGGAATCTAAAAACTCAGTCATTTCTTTAATTCCTACAACAGCTTCTTGATGTAGATCCTCAAGACAATGTAAGTTTTACTTTTAACTCTATTTTACCTACTAGAAATAAAATTCAGTCTTATTCATATGCAAAAATGTTAAAGCTCAATTTTAGATATAACTGTGGGTAAGACACCAATTGAATGCTCAGTTAGAGGCAGTTTCCTTTGTAAAGGTATATTAACTGTATCTAGATACTTTGTTTGGCTATCATATCATGTTATCCTTGTCCTTTGAAAGTTTTTTCTTAATTTGCCATCACTATATGCAAATAATGTGTTGAATTGTCTGTAGGCTGAAGAAGATGGTGCCAATGTTGATTTGGATTCACAGCGAAAAGGCAAATGTGCAGTCATCAAAACTTCAACAAGACAGGTAAATTAATGAAATATCTTGTTCTATGAGCCCCAAATGATATGGTACATTGACAGAATACACTTAAGTGAGATGGGTATTACCGTAAGGAATGCGGCAACTAGAACTAGAACTTGCATGAGATGTACTTTCAAGTCACCAGATTGAGAAGAAGTCTCCACAATGCAGGCCTTTCTTTGGAGGCCTTAATGAAATTGTTTGTTCTTTTTCAGATTTTTATGGACTATTAATTTTTTATTTTGTAGATTAATTATGGTATATGGAGTTTGTGATAATCTCATGTCAAGTGACTGTGGGATTGACCTGTCAGTGTCTTCTAAGTGAATCAAAGCCATCACACTCCAGATTATTGACAAACATATTATTATTTATTTGTAACGACCCGATTTTGTGGCAAAACATAAACCATCTTAATCATGTAGATAGTATTTGTAATATTAAAAGGTATTAAAATTTCTTTGCAGCAGTACAATACAATACAATGTTTTTTATTTGAAGAGGGTAAATACGTGATTAACCCAGTGAAGAGTTTTCTAACACATGGCCCTCTGTAAACCCACCCATCCCACCCAGGGGAGGACATCCATCACACAGTAATCTCGTGTGTGGGAAATTAATGTCTCCTACCTCAACCCTGCAGGAGATGGGACCTCCATTTATTCGTCCCTATCCGAGAAGACTAGAATATCTAACCATATCAAACTGTTATTTAAATTTATGCCAATGAACTCGATTTATCTCTTTCTTGCAGACATACTTCTTACCTGTGATTGGTCTGGTGGAACCTGAGAATTTAACTCCAGGGGACCTAGTGGCAAGTGGAATGCATAAATCTGTTAATACATGATATATTTCTAAAAATTAATGTTTTTAAGTTCTGGTAACTTATGAAAGAATCTAACATGTGTAGCTCATTTGATTCCCTTCTGCACTTTACTTCCAGCATTCTTAATTTTATAGTTTTTGCAGAAGTTAAAATTTACATCATGCACATGGATGATGTCTGCCTTTATTTATTCTTCCACACTGCATCAGTTTTTATTTTTTTCTATTTTATCATTTTAGGGTGTCAATAAGGATTCATACCTCATACTTGAAAAACTACCACCAGAGTAAGTGGTTTGTTTTAACTAGTAAGGACTTCCTATCATAAATCTATCTGCTCAGCTGGACTGGTTTGGATTTTAAGGTGTTACCTCAACACTTTTCCTTTCAAAATTTTTAGTAGTTGATATAAGAGCAAGGGCAAGCCAAATGAGCAGGCAGAATTAAACAAATCAATGATTTATAATCTGGTATCTGACTCTGGTGTCAACCAGGATTTTTCTTCCAGTTTGCCAACCAGTGCAGAATTATTGTTTCTGTGGCATATAGTGTATCATATCATTTATTTTTGGATGTTGTAATCATTTCTTGAATACTAGAGATCAAACATACCGTAATTTCCATGCTCTTTGAATGAGGCAGCCTTGATGTAATGTACTGTCATTTCAATATGTGCCTCAATGGTTATTTGCCATCTAATAGTCAATAATTTCTTTATATGCAGGGTTTTCTCAATAACATTTTAAGAATCTGGTGCTATGTTGATTTCCAGATACGACTCCCGAGTGAAAGCCATGGAGGTGGATGAAAGGCCAACAGAACAGTACAGTGACATTGGAGGCCTGGATCAGCAAATTCAGGAGGTGAAGAAATCATTAACTCAGTTATTCCCAAGATGTCATTAGTAATTTGTCTTACTTTCAACCATACAACTCTTATGATGTTAGTTTGGAGAATTTGGTTTTGGATCAAGTACATGTAACAATCTCCTGATTGATATTTTTTCTTTATTCTCATTACTTGTCTGTTTGATTTTGTGTTGGTGTTATCAGAAGGAATTTTGTGTTGGTGTTATCAGAAGGAATTTTGTGTTGGTGTTATCAGAAGGAATTTTGTGTTGATTACTCGTGGGAGTAGAAGGATTAAGCAGATAAACAAAGAGACGAAGAATTTTTGTGAAAACTCTTCATTTCAATTAGTGATATCTAGGTTTTTTCCCTTTGTTCTTTATTATTTTACAAAATTTTATTATTCTTTCCTGAAAAGTGATAAGTTGCTAAACAGAGACAAAGTTAGACTAGTTCAAGCTTTGCATAAGTTCATGGCCATCATGCCTTGATGCACTTTATGGCTAATGCTGTAAAATTACCTCTACTGTGCTTGAAAAAAATAAACAACTCTTCTATTTAACCTCTGAAACCAAATTTATTGGCATTTTTTACAGCTTGTAGAGGCTATTGTGCTGCCAATGACACATAAAGAGAGATTTGAAAACCTTGGAATTGCTCCTCCAAAAGGTACATGTTCCTGTTACTGTTCAAAGATTTCATCTGCCTCCTGTTCATTTTGTAAATGAATTAATACCCTACACTCAGACCAATTGTTTTTTCTTTATTTGTGTGAAAGTGAAGAAAAGTTCTTCAAAGAAAACTGTTGTCTGTGAATTGGTCGAAAGATACTTTACTGTCACATTTCCCCTTCACTAAGGGGTTTGAATGAATACCAGTTGATTATCAAGAAAACCTGATTAAATGCTATGTGGTTCCTTGTAATGGATTAGTATCTCATGTGAAGTAGTATTAATGCTCATAGTTGGGATATATCAACAAAGTTGAAATGGTAAATTTGCCACCATAACGATTACAAAAGCTGACGTTTCAACTGTTAGCCCTTCGTCGAAGTGAATAGAAGAATTGTGGGTTGTGTGTGGTTTTAAAGGCAGAAAATGGAGCTATGTTATTGGTAGGAACACGGCAACG